AATAATTATTGAAAAACTATCAAGCAGAATCGTTCTGATCATTAAACAACAAAGTTAATAGTCACGGCAATCGTACAGTTTGATAAATTTATTGTGTCATGAACATTATTTTTGTGATGTATGATGATATGAACGTGATATGAACGAGATATGAACGAACGATAGCTTATTTTATTGTGTTTTAGTTTTCATAGGAAAAAAAAAAAAAAAAACTTCAAAAGAAGAAAACTAGAAAGTACTATTGACGTATAATTTGTAAATATTTAGAGTAAGAACTCGCCGCGATTGATGTGTAATTCAATTCATGTCGCCGAGGAAAGAGTAAAGTTAACACGAGTATGTTGACACCGGGAATAAACCCGTAACCCGCAAAAGCCACTTACTATGTAAACCAGTCTTTTGTGATAGATATTTATTTTTAGGATTACTTAATTACTATTAGATTATACAATGACTATATTTATAATGCCCCATGACGTAAGTTTGCCTAAAAAAAAAAAGAAAAAAAAGAAAACGAAAAAAACAGATGAAACGAGCAAAAGAAACGTACATAGGTCCACGCACAGGTATTTTGTATTCAACAAAGCGCGTTAATCATGTGTAAATATACATCGAAAAGAAAAGAAGTGTGCGTGCATACTTTCGTATACGTCTGTGTGTCTGTCTGCGTGCATGTATGTGTATATGTGTGTATATGTGTGTGCTGTGTGTGCACATTGTTATGCACCAAAGTGCTAATATGTAGACATTTAATAATTTGTCTTCCTCTTTATTTTTTATTCATAGCTAATCATTATGTCACATTTAGATAAACTAGTTTTGAAATAATTTAATCGATCAATGATTGCTCATCACGGATAAATATCAATATAATTTTTCTAATATTTGATTATATAATATCGTCACCGAATCAACGATTTTTCTTTAATATTAAATTTTTAGTGAAATTTCTCTCCATATAAAGAATAATTGTATTTTGTTAGTCAATTATATACAAGCGTCGTTACATACACATTTCATCGAGAAGAAATTTTCACAAAAGAAAATACATATTTTTCTTCTTTTTTTTTTTTCCATCATTTTGTATAATTAATTTTTGAACACATATTTATACGTTTCAATAGTATGGTACTTTCAGTTGAAATGCACGCACGAGAATAGAAAGAATTGTGATTAGTTGAACGTGCGATAAAACGATGATCGTTATGTAACAAAACTCCAATATGAATATTATAGTTTCTGTGAGTTTTTGTAAGTTAATTTGTGATATTTTTATACCCCATGAATAATTTAAAATTCTCACACCAAGCATAGCACAAGAATATCGAACGACAGCGCGAAGATTGGCAAATGTCCGAAACTTAAATAAAAATTAATATTACGACGATCATTGTTTCGATGTCATGATGCTTTGATAATGATGATGATGATGGTGATACGTCTTATATATACATATATATATATATATATATTTTTAGATCTTGTATTTCGAGAGAATGAAAAGAAAAAAAAAACGAGTGACGACTATCTCTTTTGATGGATAACAAAACGTCGTATTATAGCATTACTATATTAAATGCGATAAATAATTATTTGGTTAAAGACGAAAAAGGATCGAAATGAAATTTATACTTCACTTTTCGAAGCATTTGCTCACTTTTTTTTTTTTTTCTTCCGTATTTCATCGATGAATGACTTTTGTGGTTCGCGCTGTTTTTACACGAAAAAAAGAACGGTATTTCGACATCGTTCATAATTGTTTCTCAAAGAAAAAAAAAATGAAAATTCAACATGATCAATATGATCGACAATGAATTCACTAATTAATCGCGAATGATTGCGATTTAACATTGCGTCCAGCAATCTAATAGATTTAGCAAGATCATGCAAACTTACCAGTGACAAGTATTATACATCGTATTTTGCCAATAAACGAAGAAAAACTCTTTTGCGAAAACATCGATGGGGTTCGCATATGTGCGTGCGTATGTGCGTGCGCCTTTAAACAAGGCGCCCTCGTGTAATTCAGTATTTTTTCCTTGTTGTTACGTGGTATATTATAAACAAATACAAGTAATGTATTAGGATAATTAGATTTGTTGTAATCGCGATCGAAGCGAACAATCCCCGACTTTTTTTTTCTTCTCTTTATTATACACTTTTTCGTTTCTTTTCTTCTTTTTTTTTTTTTTTGAACTTTATTTACCAAACGAGCATACTTTGTTAAAATATAATTGCTGATACATGTACATATACATACGAGAAAGAAACAAAAAAAGAGGGGAAAAAAAAAAAAAGGAAACGAATTTTTAGTAATCTTTTTAAAAATTTTCAAATGATACGCCAGCGTATCATAATCGTTTATTTTTCCTTCTTTTTTCCTTTTTTTCTTTTATTTTCCCTTTTTAACGAGCATTATATCTGTCGAATGTACGCGCAGGTGTGTACATACTTTACGCGGTCACAATATCCCTCGATTTTCAATTTTCCATTTACAATCATGGTTATCGTGGAAACACGTATCGCAAGTATTTTTTACTTTTAAAAAAAAAAAAATGAAAAAATACTCGATTCGTGTCCAGACGAATTTAATATCGATTTTCTCTATATCATTAGATTGATCCGATCGATTGTAAATCGCTGAACGGATTCGAATCGTTCCATTCTAACCTATATGGAGGGATGGCGATCTGCGATCTGTTTACGAAAAGTGAACGGAAGAAAGAAATAATTCTTCGAGAGAGAGAGAGAGAGAGAAGAAAAAATCAATATTTGCTATCTAAATTTCCAAATATCACAATGATCAAAGTATCGTAACGCGTAAGAGTGTTTTCACGATGTTCTTACTCGGCTCTTTGTTACGAAGGACGAGAGACCGATGATCGATGATGAAAAACAACGATTGGTTTTCCCGAAACGAGATTCCGTAAAGCAACAATAGGGAAAACGTGCATCATGATAAGTCAAGGGGGAGGGGGGGAAATATCTATAAATAAATAATAAGGATATGAGAATATTTAAATGAGATAATAAACGAAACAATAACGTCTCTCACGAAAGAGATTTCTACGACGTTGATTATTCGTTCATCCTCGTAAATGAACATCGTTTTTTTTTTCAATTAGTATTATAATGCATTTACGAAATAATATTTTTCTTTTTTTTTTTCTTCCATTTGTTCTAAGGAAATCGTTATGATTCTCGTTCTATTTTTTTTTTTTTTTACAAATCGCGGCGACAGTTTTTTCTAAGATCCTGCTTGTCAAAATTGGCGCCCGTTTCATTGGCTGAAAATAACAGCGAATGATATCCTGCACGAACGAGATAACTAGAGTTTCCATCATCGTTGATGAAAACGTCAAAATAACAAATTAATTTGATCGCAATATATATATATATATGTATATATGTACACAACAGATGATATCGAGACCTCGCGTAGAGATTTCGGGATACGCATACGAATACATAGAAATGGTATTTTGTAGATAACGAGAGACTTGTTATTTGAGCGTATCGTATTTTTCGTCCCCAGGGCGTAATCCGAGTAAAATTTCATCATTCGTAGCGTTCAACGAAATACCGCGATATCGATTCTTCACCGATCATTATTATTACTTAATTGATTCGCGGCAAAATCGAACGGTGCGTATTCGTTCACATTTGTAACACAAAATTCTCTAACTAATCTATTCATTTATCTATCTAATTAACTAACTATATTTATCTATATTTATACGTATGTATTTCGCGTTGTTCACGATAAAAGTAACAGTGCTTCGAACAGTGTCGAAAAATCATGAAAACGCAATATTTGCTCGTTGATCAACGATGGCGAACCGTTCGATCCTCCATTTCTTTTTTTTTTTTTCCTTCTCCTTTCCTTATTTTATTCCCGCAATCGTCCGCGAATACGGATAATTATACAAAGAGTCTGTTTCTCGTATTTACGAACAGAGGAGAATACGTTACGAGTCGGCGAACGGTGCGCCATCGTCAGTTGTCGATTTTGACTAAATCGCGAAAGCGGCTAAACGGATTTATCTCATACAAAAATATCCGGAAAAATACAAGATTTTTATCGAAAATTTGTTATCTACACATCTCGAATCGACGATCGGTCATTTAAACGACGATCGCTCGTCTATAAACAACGTGACGTAAAAAGCGCTATCTCGTTGCTACGAGTTACACACGACGTTCACGACGCATTATTATGGATTTCGCTCGATCGTCCGAAATTCTCTTCGCTTCTCATCTTCAAAATCTCGATATCCGAGATTTCGATCACGGTGTCGAACACGCGATCGCTGTAGAGAAAAATGTGATTAGGTGTCATTAGGCCGGATGCGTCGAGAGGGGGAGGTGGATGGGAGGGAGGGGGGAGCTATCCGCACAGCGAGAGGAACGGCGAATTCGTTTCGAATTCGCGATGCCGCGCGCGTTTTCGAAAGTCGGGGAGGAAAGAAGGAAACGGTCGCGTTCGAAACGCGACGACCAATAGGAACGAGTCGGTACCGTGTATCACCGTGTCACCGCCGTTTCACCGTATCACCTTCCCCGCTTCCTCGCTAATCGAAACGCGATCACGATCGATTTATCATCGAAAACGGGGAAAGAAAAAAAAAAATAAAAAGAGAGACGTCTGGTGAACACGCGCGAATCGCGACCATTCGAAGAGAACGAACGTTCGCGAGTGGAAAAACTACTAAATAATAGTAGTAGTAATAGTAGTAGTGGTGGTGGTAGTGGTGATGATGGTAGTGGTACACACGCGGTTAGTGCACGATCGAATTGCGCGAGAACGAAGTATCGGCGAGTTTTGCACAGTGTTTGGTCACGGTCGATGATCGCGATCACGGCAGTCGAAGCAACAATGGGAAGCAAGTTCGACCAAGTGTTTGTTTATTCGCGTGTCCTTGTCTCGCCCCGCGTGCCGTTATCGCGTCTCGACGGTCGCTTCGCGCAGAAGCTTGAGCCCTCTAGAAAAGTAACGGTCGTCAATAGTTGTTCATGTCCTTGAGCTCGGTGTAAGCGATCCTCTTTCGATAAAGATTCCCACTCGGCGAGATCACTTTCCTCTTGTTCGGCATCGTGGACGGGCCCGGTACGTAGTAATGCCGCCTTTTGTACACCACCATTCTGTAAACGATTAGCAAACGATTATTGCCTTTTCTTTAATCTTTATTATTACGATCGACGAATCGTCGTGCATAGAACGAGAGTTGAACGAGTTTTATGAACCGTTCCGCGATATGCATTCATACCGTATATGTTGCGCGCGCATAATAAACGATAAATCAATTTAACGCGTTTAATCCTTCGTTCGCTCGTAAGTATTTTGCGTATATTCGATGATATCGCACGAGGCGGGAAAAAGGTATAGATTTCGCATTCCAGGTTAATGGATCGGTTTGCCGCGGCGTAAAAGATAAAATCGCGGCGTTACGTGTACGATTGCGACAACTTCCGGCGTTTCTCGAGACGTTGTCGTCGTCATCGTCGAATAATGGTTTCGAAGCGAAGAATTGTGACTTTCGATCGAATTCCAAATGAATTTCGTTCTATCCAAGATGAGCGCGTTTTATTGCTGCGCGATAATCGAGGAGAGCGGAAGGAGATAAAGGAAAAATATTATACGAGAAAGAACGGTGTCAACGTTTATACAGTTGTTTATGCGAACTGTCAATACAATAACGAGAGTATCGTGTGCCGAAAAAATATATATATATATATTTCGTTGGCATTGCAAAATATAATGGATAAAGGAAACGTTTGTAATATAATTCGTGAATATAATCGTTGGAGAACAGGTATCGGGTAGATTTTCTGATTTATACACTTTATTGAAATGTTACCACCACACAGGCAAGCAAACGTAGGTAAGGCATAGCGAGATATATATATATATATATATATCGTTGATCGAAACAATTAAATTTATCGTCATCTACCTTTCCCTTGCGACGATACTTTTAGATATAATTTTGCTAATCTCTAATCTCTAATCCAGTCTTGTTCCGGTCGTCCTGCAACCCCTACTCAATCCAACCGATTCGTCAATTTTATCGATCGATCAACGATCCGCTGCGAAATGCGTCAACGATAATTTCTTACGTTCTTTTATTGTTATTACAGATATCTTAAAACGAGCGAAATATTCATTTTTGACGATAATAGGTAGGAACGTCGAGTTATCGCTATCTACACGGCAATAAGTATACACCTTTGTTAAAAAAAAAAGTTTAACAACAATATTGCCGGAAAGCGTCGACTAATCTAAAAACGGGCATAAACATTTTTCACCTCGTTGATAAAATAATGCGACACGTCGAGATCTTGTAAACCCGGTGGTCCCCTTCTCCAAGTGGGAAATAACTTGGAGATCGTCGTACAAGATAAAAATTATACAAAAAAAAAAAAAAATAAAACTCCGTTTATCCGGAATGGAATAACAACAATAGCGAGCGAGGTTGACGGTTCATCCGAAGAATGATCCAAGATTCATTGGTACGGCCCTCTTTGGTAGTGTGATACGATGTAAGGAAGTAGACATGTTGGTTCGTTCGAGAAAAAAAAATGACTAGACGAATACATATATATATATATATACACATATACATATATATATTCGCTTCCTCGATCCTTCGAATAAATCGGCTTCGATCGAAATCGGTTTATCGATCGACTCGTCCTTTCCTTCTTGACCAACTTTGTTTGCGTGCTTCGCTTTTCGAAGCGAACAGAAAAAAAAAACGAACAAAAAAAACAAAAACAAAATTCACTCCATAATACTGCGAGTCCTTAACACACGCGTCCTTACTTAATCCTTACTTAAAAAAGAGCGATCCTCGACCAGCGAAGACATTACGCAACGGGGAGGGGACACGATTAAAAATCACAGAACACGTTACTAGAAAAACTAGAAAAAGAAAAGGAAGAGAGAGAGAGAGAGAGAGAGAGAGAAGAGAGAGAGAGAGAGAGAGAGAGAGAGAGAGAGAA